TTAATGCCTAATTGCCATGGAGCACAGTAACATTTATTCATGTCATGATTTGATTAACTTTTTAAAAAATTTTATTTCTTTTTTTTTTAGCCTTGATCTGTTGACTTATGCTTAATATGGTTTCTTGCTGAAGTAGCAGTGTCATCTTTCATAACTAAAACTTAGAGGAAACTTTGAACTCTGGTAGTAATCAAGTATAAATTGAAACAAGCACAGTTTTAAATTTACTAATTAATGGATAAAAGTAAGAATATTCATGGTATGTCAAGGATGCAGTGATAAGGGTACCTTTATACATTGCTATTGGCAGTGTAATTTGGCAGTGTAATCCTTTTGAGGTTTTTCAACACTTGAAAGTGTTCATACCTTTTGAGCCACTAACCCTACAGTTGTTGATGTCTTCTAGGAATGTAATAAAGAAAAAAAAAAAAAAACTAATTATCTGGAGATTTTTCTTGCAGCATTACCTTAATAAAGACCTAGAGGCTACCTAAATTTTCAACAATAAGAGAATAGTAAAGTAGATTAGCATCCATATGCTGGATGAAATATTATATAGGTATGATAAAAGATCATTATGAAGGCTGTAATCATAGGAAATATGTATGACAAGTGATTGAAAGGAATTTATAGGCTTGAATGAGAATATACTCAAGGTAGTGGTTTTCAAGTACTAAAATTATGTGCAGCCTTATATATATATATATGTGTATTTGATTTTCTTAACTTTTTTTTTTTTAGAGGTTTTTGCTATAGGGTGCATGTGCTCACCAGAGAGACAGAGAGAGACAGAGAGACAGAAAGCGAGAAATCACCCCCCAGGGGGGATGGTCACGCTGCAATCCCTTCTCCTCCATTCTCCTCTTGGGATCTTGGGCACGCACGCACACGTGCCCGGCGTGAGTTTTAAGCCACCGGGTCCGGGACGCGAACCGCGATCGACTACGTGGGAGTCCAGCGACATAGCCATTACGCTAACTGCTGGTTCCCAATTTTGTTAACTTTTTATAATTCTGTTTTTTTTTTTAATTTGGAAAAGTAAAAGCAAATAAAATTAGCAAGAATTTCATGACAGTTCATTCTGTTTTCTGTCTTTTGATAGCTTTAAGAAATGTTTGTTAGGTAGCTACACAAATAAGACTATTCTATATTTTTTAAGCATGAGCTAACAGTTAACTACTCAGCCAATTTCCAGTAGAAATTTTTATTAGGAACATGATATTTGAAAGACTATGTAGTCATAATGACCTTATATTATTGCCCTAGGACCTCAACAAAATTCTGCATTGGAAAATGTTCTCTGATGCTGGTTTTAGGCTCTTCCTAGTATCATTCATATAATCCTCAGAATGTTAACAAAGGTTTAGGCCTTCTTGAGCTCATCTTCATGCCAGGCATTGGTACATTAAATAGACCAAAATATTAATTAGGTGCTTGAGCATTCATTCCAAGACAAATTGTGTTTGTGTGTGGGGGGGCATGTGCATGTATGTGTGTAAGCAGGCTCATGTGTGTATGTGAGAAATATTAGTGTTTAAAAGTTGTTATATTTACTAAATTGTTTCTTTGGAGAGCTTACCTCAGTGAGGAGAGTAAGAAAATAAAATACAAAATGATTTAAGCGCTACTCTTTAATCTCACAAAGTTGAGATTTTTTAATAGTTTATTTCTTCCATGAGCAAGAGAGACAGACAGCATTACTAACAGAGAGTACTGATGCTTTGACCCACCACCATCTTTCTGCTAGCCCCAGATCATGGACATGTGCATGTATCTATTGGTCTATCCATTTACTGTTGACCCTTTAGTGAAGAGAGATTTTCCTAGCATGGAGCATGGTTTTAAATGAGGATTAAAAAAAAATACTCAGCATAATTTTTGCATGGCAATTATAAAGCATTGTCTACCATTAGCTATGGATTTATAAGACAAAATCCAAATAGGAAACTAGGCAATCCTATTATGAACATATACTGTAATGATCATAGAGTTAATGTATAGACTACCATAGAATAATCTTGTTGTGGCATTGAAGGGTATACCCTGTCTTAGACACTTAACTTCTTTCTATTGCTACCATGCCGTAATATTGGTAATGGTTCTAAAGGAATCCAAACAACTTGTAATTTCTTACTAAGACCAGAGAGAGCTCAGGAGAGAACTTAGAAAAATGTCTGTCTCAGGGACCAGCAATTGGCGTAATGGCTGTGTCACTGGACTCCCATGTAGTCAACCACGGTTCCAGTCCTGGACCCAGTGGCTTAAACTCAGAAAGGGTGTCTAAGGGTATTTCTTCTCATTAAGAGAAAAATGAACATGTTAATAATTGACCAGAATCACTGAGACCAGAGTTCTCAGTCTCTCTTTGGTATTACATTGGTAATTTAAAAAAATATTGCTTCAATTGGCATACAACAACTATATTGGTTATTAATACTAATAAATTGTAAGTATAAAGTGCCACCTAAAGACTCATGTAGCATTGTATATTCGGTTCTAAATCTCTCATTCACTGGGATAAAACATCAGATTGCTCCATTGAAACCAATTAAACTGTTTATGTTTTATCTGACAGTATAAAGAACAGAACTTTACATTTGTGAAGTAACAAATAATAGCTCACTTTATTGAACACTTAACTTTGTACTAGATATTATTCTAAGCTCTTTATGCTAATTTTATTTCAGTGTAGTAGCTGCTTATGGATAGTGTAGTCCTTTCAGGGTAGTTCTTTCTCAGTTGATTCAGAGTAGATCATCTGTATTTTACAGTATGATCTATACCATCTAAATTATGTCATATCCATCTTGTTTTATTTATGTTTTTAAAATGCAAGTGAGATGGAAAGCACTTGATTTTGATTTATTTATACTGTAATAGTTTAACATGATCAGCCCTGTTCTCTCCATTAGCCTTTGCTTCTGCTGGGATGTATGGAAAGAGCGTGGATTTTAGAGTCTAACATAACCTGAGCAAGATAAATAATCTTTTTAAACCCTAGTTTTATTTTCTCTTCTAAAAAATAGCAATAAGAACATATACCCTCATAAGGTTGTTGTCAGGAACACAGAAATTGCTTGATAAACTTTCTGTTGGGTCATCAGATGATTAGAATGTCTGGCACATAAATTCTTAATTAACGTTGGTTCCTTTTTAAAGAAGTTTTCCTTTAAAGCTTCAGAAAGAGCAACCGCTCTTATTGTTCGCCTCGTGAAAGTGATGTGTGTTGACTAAATTGCAGCAGCAGCCACAAGTGCAACTTCCAAACCAGGAGATGATTATCCATCCCAAATTACCTCTTTTGGAAGGAAACCCATATTGTTCGTTGCACCATCCTTTTCTTTAAGCTAATTCCTTTTCTTTTGAATTTTCTTGGTAAATTTTTCTTTTTCTATTTAAATGTTACAAATATAATGAAGTTCTACATTAGAATTCTTAAAATATAATTCTAATGTACAAATTCACAAATCTTTAAAGAAGCTTTTCTCACAAAATGAAAGAACTGTGTTCTTTTAAGCTCATGGTATTGGCTGCCAAATCATAAAGATTTCTGTTTGTTTTTTTTTTTCCTATATGGAAAACCATTTCTCTCTGCACTTTTGAGGTTGTATAGTTTGTAACAGCCTTCATAAATAGGGGACTTCTGCTTTAGTTCTGACACCGAACTTTTCATCCAGCCTTGCTGTCAGTGTCCCTACTACTTGACATTGACAGGATTCTTGTCAAAATCTGGGTTTTGCATAAATTAGTGTTTGACCCTAGACAGGTTTTTCCTCCTCTCTTCAGTGCAGCTTTTAAGACTGTCACGCCCGTATTCAGAGATAATGAAAGTGAAATTTGACTGTTACACATTTTATGCTGTGAAGAAACAAGTTTGTGAACTTATTGAATACCATGGACTTTCCTACTCTCTTTCATTTCATATTGAGCCATAATTAATAATTGTCAAGTCTTAAAAATCCCTGTGCACTATCAGTACCATCACTTATACTCACTGTTTCTGCCTCTGAGTTCACTGAAGCTATTTTTTGTATTCCAGCGTTAATGTGCAACTTACATTTGTACATACATGGTAGTGGGAGGGAGATTTAAATTGCACAAGGGTGTGTCACTTCAAATCTCACAGATAAATTTAGAATTAAAAGTGGATTTTTACCTTAATACTTTTAACATACATCTTAAATATTTGCAAAACCTGAAAAATCTTTGTAGTATAAAGAATTCTTGCTGTCATTGTTCTGGCCATGGCCCATGGCAAAGGGTAAATTATTTCAGCATTGAGCAAGAAGAACAGAACACATTTTAGTATAATCACATATTTATCATGCTCTTTCTTAGTGTCAGATCATGACACTAATCTCTACTGAAAGATTTCAGATGTTACAGATGTGAAATTACAGGTGACTAACATGTGGTTCCTAAAATTTAATGAACCTGGAAATTAAATGACTATAGCAAAATATAATAATTTAATAGTCTTCATTGAGGCAGGTGATACATGCTATTTTTCCTTTATTTAATTTGATAGAAATAAATTCTTTTTTATTCTTGAAGAAAAATCTTTGTGATACCTTTTCCTTCCTTTAGCCATCTAACCTAAAAATGATTTAGAAGATTTTCTAAGCTTGGAAAAAGAATATTTTTTTTTTTAAAAGAAAGTTAACTCTTCCTATTTTGAACACTTGAAGATTTCAATGTGTGTGCGGGGGTATCCATAAATACTGAAAGTAATATATATATTTAAATAACAACAAGATAAAATATTACTTCTCTACCAATTTACTGATAGAGTGGTATAAATGGTTGAGAATATGAGGATTAGTATCCCTTCTGTTCAAACATGATTACCATTGAAATTTAATGTGTGTCAGGCACCATGCATGACTCTTGGTGTACAATAAATGATTTAATCTACACAAGATCCCAATGAAATAAATACCAGTATCCCCATTTTACATTCAAGGAAAATTACAAATACAGGTTGGGAACCAGTGACTTACTTAACATCTATGAGCTGGTCTAGTAAGTTGCAGAGCTGTCATTTAGGTTTTTGACTTCCTGACATCATAGTGGATGAGCCCATACTTTACCTATAAAGGGAGAGATATGATACCAGCTTACCCGAGAATTTTTGCGTGAGTGTAATAAAGTAATTTACCTAACAGTGTTCAGCATATAGTAAGTTTGCCTTCAGTACCTGATAAATTGTTTTGAGAAAATGGCCTTCAACAATTTATTTCATTTAATCTTCATTTCTCATAAAATGTAGAGAATTTTGTGTAGAAAACTGAAGATGTATATAGGTAAAGGTATCAGCTGATATTTCTTAAGGGACCTGAAGGTATTTTTCATAGGGTAGCAAAAAATTGACCTATTTCTTTTAACTTACTATTCTGCTACTGAAAGAGTTTAACCATGTACTGAAACTCTTAATCTTCTGACTTTCACTATGATCTGTTTTCAAGATTAAACTACATTTTACCTATGCATCTAGATGTTGCCCTTTTAGATGGTGGTCCTCTAACTTCCACTCAACTCTGCAAAAATGAAGGCAAACAAATTACTAAAATTACTTGCTAGAAATACCTGGTATAATGTTATATTTTTATTCAGATTATACCAGTGATAATACTGTTACAAAATTATAGCTTTCATCAGTGTATGGACCTCAACTGCACTTAAATTTAAAACTGTATTTAGGGTAGGAACATAGTTCTCTTCAAATGTAGAATAAAAAAGATCTGAGACTATGTTATAGGGATTAGGCTTGATGGCAAGTACAACATGAATGAGCAATAATTGAGTAGCTGCTAAAAATATTAAAGCAAGACTATATTGACCAATAAATTTATATTTTCCCTAATAGAATACCTAAATAGATAAAGGTACCTAATAGAGTACCTTTATCACAATACTATCATAATAGTATTATATTCCAGACAGTCTGTACTTGGAACATTATTCTGAGTACTAGGTTATGTAGAATAGTAAAATTAAAATATGTAGAGGAAAAAAAAATGATCAAGATGATGGAGATTCTGGAAATAATGATTCTATGAACCAAATGTTTTTCTGTCCTAGAAACTAGATTAGACATAATAGTTTACTATTCTTATTACTTGAATAAGGAGAGATATAATATTTACTTTTAAATACTTTAAAACATTTCATATAGCAAATGAAACAGGCTCAACTAGGAAATATAGGTAGAAGTTTCATAAATACAGATTTATACTTTCTAGTGAAGGAGAGAGAGCAGTAGAATTGGCTGCCCAAGAAAGCCTGAGCTACCCTCACTGGTTACTTGAAGGAGAAAGAAACACATTTGGGTGTGATGTACTGGATTAATTTTATACTACAGAGAAAATCAGATCAGTGACTCCTGGGATACCTCACATTTCTAAAACTATAGCTTTCAGTATTGCCCTGATAATAGGTAAGGATTTTTAAGTATGTATTTTTTTTTATGTTTCATTAAAGAGAAATAATTATAGTTTGTTATGTAGACATTGTTAGTATGGATTGTTGGCCATGAATTGGGAGTTAAATGTGATAAAAGTGTTTGTTATGTTGGTGTTCTACCTGCTTTAAGGTTTAAATTTTTCATTCTTGTCAGTCTTATATGTTCTTTAGTTCTCAGTAAGGGAATGAAAACATCAGAAATAATTTTTATTTCTTTATCATTTGCTACAATGCAATTATACCAAGCATTTCTTTACTATTTCTTCCTTCTCTACTCCAAACCTCAACACTTTTTAATGGCAAAGATCTGGCCTATATTTTATAAATTTGACATGGAACTTTTTCTGTAATTCATTTAGAAAAAATCTGTGATAATGGGGCTGGCAGGTGGCATGGTGGTTAAGGCACTGGACTACCTCTTGGCGACTGTGGTTCAAATGCTGGACCTGGTAGCTTGCTTTCTCTCTCTCTTTCTCTCTCTCTTTCTCCCGCTCTAGTCAAATTAAATAATTAAATAAATAAAGTTAAATAAAATAATAATTTTTTTTTTAAATCTGTGATAAGGTCACTGAAACATACCATATTTCTATCTCAGTTGTTCAGTTATATAAACTTTTTTGGGCTTTTCTGTAAAACACAGTCTATCATTATGAAGTAGTAATTACTGTTTATAGTTTTTGAACCTCTGGAGAAATAAAAGGTAGCAAGAACTTCTTTGCTTGATTTGCCCTTTTTATTTTCTCCAAAGTTATTTCTATTTCTTTATCTTCCCAAAGCAATCTGAAGAATACTCTTACAACAAGCTGTTTCTGATTTTCAGCACTATTTGTGAATGTAGATCGTTTAATTGAATTAGGAATGTTTAGTTTATTTTCATTGAGTTAATCAATTCAGAGTAATAGCTGACATAGATCGCTTATTTTCTAAGTTCTTTGTTGATACCATCTTATATAATTCTTCTTATATGCCATGAGGTCATTACTGTTTTCAGTGTGAGAAACTGAGACAGGAAAGTTGAGTGACATGCCTAGGACATGGTGGAGTCTAAACCCAGACTCAGACCTGACTTAAGAAACTGAGCTCTTAAATGCCAGTGCCATGATATAGTACCTCTCAAAGAAATCTGAGTAGATTGATGTCTTTTGGAGCAGGAATAAGTTCTTTACTCTGACTTTAGGACAAGCTTTTAAAACATATTAATAACTTACAGCAGACCAGGAAATGAGTTTAGAGAGGTACGTTCATATTTTTGACTTTACTATAGTACTTCAACAATGATGATGACCATTAAATGATGCTTATACTCGCTTCAGTCTTGATTCCCTCTATTTATTTAAAATCTACTGTAGAACCTGAAGAACATTATGGTAAGTGAAATAAGCCAGATGCAAAAGACAAATACTACATTATCTCACTTATATGTTTAATCAAAAATAGTCAAACTCATAGAAGCAAGAGAGTATGACAGTGTTTACTGGGAGCAAGGAGGTAGAGGAAACGATTGGTCAAAATGTTCAAAGTTCAGTTATGTAAGGTGGATGATTCTGGAGATCTAATGTACAGAATGATGACTGTAATTAACTACTGTATTTTTTGTACCGGAAATTTGCTGAGAGAGTAGATCTTAAGTGTTCTTGCCACAAGGAAAAAAAATATAATAACTGTGTGGTGATACATACGATGTTTATTATGGTTATTTCACTATGTACATATATATCACATACCTTTTAAATACATACAGTTCCTGTTATACCTCATAAAGTTGAAAGTTTTTAAAAATTTCATAATGAAATAAATCATAGGAAAAAAATTGGGCTGTTAGAAAAAAAATAAGGAAAACTCTGTGAAGCAAAACAACATACAATATACACTATGTGATACAATGGGAAGATCTTTAGATTATCCAGTCCAGTGGTTTTACAGAAGCTTGGTCATTTACATAACAGAGTTAATTACTCTGAGCCTTAGTTTCTTTATCTATAAAAGAATAATCAAAGTACCATTCCAAGGTTTAAAGAAAATAACATGCAAAACGTCGGGCACACAATAAAGTGTTAATTTTCTCTTTTTTTGTTTTCTATTTTAAATTGTAAATAAACCCACATACATATTTTTGAATGGAAGGAGATCTATAATTTTTTGTAAAGATTTTTTTCCTTAGGGGTGAAGTTCATTGGGGAGACAGAAACAGTGATACAGACAGTGAGAGGGAAAGTGAGAAATTACCGCCTTAGGGGGAGAACCATGCCACAATCTCTTCTCCTCCATTCTTCTCTTGGGATCTTAGGCTCACACGCATACACACCCAGTGTGAATTTGAGGCCACTGGGTCCAGGACTTGAACTGTGGTTAGTCATTTGAGAGTTAAGTGACCTAACCATTACACTGTCTGCTGGACCCAGTAACTATTATTTTCACCATTTTGAATTTCGTAAGAGTGACACCTCTCCTAATTTCTTCCTTGGACTATATTCTAGTTAAAATATGTATGCAGCCTTTTGATGGTTAGTTGAATTTTAACGAGTGCCTAAACTGCCAAAAATAGCTTGTTTACTTTGTATTAAAGGGTAATATTAAAGGGTGGAAGATCTTACTAATGTTAGAGGAAGGACAGTGATGAACAGTTCTGTATTTGCTTTAACTGTCATTTGAAAAATCCAATTTTTCTTTCATGTTAAAGTCTAGTCGACTGTCCTTTAGGGCTGACCCCATAGTACAACGAGATCCTACCTGGACAGCCATGGTTGGGATTCTGGCCCCTGCGGCTACACCAGGCATGAATGTGTACATGCCCAAGATCCTAACAGAATAGATAAATAGAGGAAAAAGAAGACTGCTTTGTGACAGAGCCCCATGGAGGAGTGTTTTCTGTCTTTTTTTTTCATATGTGCACATGTACCCTCTTGCATTTAAAACAAAACAAAACAAAACAAAAACTAATGATTGTGCTTTGGTTTGCAAGTCCTCCTGAAATTTTGCATGATACAGTAATGAAAACATCGTTATGTTGGTTAGGCATTTTGAACAGTTGCTTTAAATTTTGAATCTGATTTTTTCCTTCTTTTGAATTAGCAGTTTCTTTTATCTTTTCTTCTATACAATGTTTTGGCTTAAATAAAATATTCCTGGACATACTGCATAAGATCATCTTAGAGCAGCTCTGAGGGAAAGGGACATAGTAATTTGCCATTATAATTTCTTCTAAAGTAGAATTTTATTTTACTTAAAGCTTCAAATGATAAATCAGTTTTCATAAACTTTACTATACTTGCTTCTATATTTTAAAAATTTTCTCATCTGTTAATAAAGCCTGAGATGTTTTTTCCCATTTGGATATATAAAGTGTTTATTGTCTTCTGAAACACTTACTTTCTGGGCGTTGAGGAGGATTAGATTTTTCTCTGTGATTGAAGGCCAGGAGAAAGGGCTCTGAAGTCAGAGACAGGATTGCCTTCTGGTTCCTGCCTTCCCTTAGCACCTGTTCTCATAATCAAGTCACTTCACCCAGTTGGTTCCCAATGCCCAGCAGAGGTTGAATTAGGTTGGGTTTTTAATTTTTGTGTCCTTGAAGATACAGATCTTGGAGGGAAGATGCAGAGAAAGCCAAGGGGGTCCTGCTCACACACACATCTTTTAATATCCACTTTAACTGAGCCTATCTGTCTTGAGTTGGAATTATACACAAAATTTCATTTGAAAAAGAGTCCCATATTTACCCGCCAAATAAGTAATAATAAAATAAAAATATGGGGCAAGCTAGTGGTATGATGGTTAGGGTGGTTGGCCTTAGGAGCACAGGCAGAGGGAGAAATGTGCAAAAAGAAAAAGGGAAGGTACCAATGCAAACTTCCTGAATTTCAGAACTCTTTTCCAGGCTGTCTTGGTACTTGGGAGTAGGAAGTTCATTTGCCTAGCCCAGTTCAGCACTGTTGGTGTTAGGACTGAATAATTTTTGTTGTGTGGGCTGTCCTGTGTCTTGTAGGAGGTTTAGCAGCCTCTACTTATTAGATGAAGTAACGGCTTCCTCCAGACATTTCCTAATGCGCCCAAGTGGCAAGACAGTTCCTATTGGAGAGCCACTGATCCACCTCCTTCCTTAGGGTACTGGTTGTATGTTTATCTGCACCTTGCTATTTGTAGAACAGAGAATCTGACTTCCTTGTCAGTGAGTTTCATACCTTTTATCAAAGAGTATTCCAGGTTCAAGTAACTTTTATAACAAAGCTCACTTACAAATGGAAGACATGTCCATGTTTTCACTCCAGATATAGTCTGTACTAATGAGAGACTGAAGATGATGTGCAGAAAATATGTAGTTGTGACTTGTCAAAAATATTTTATAGATAAGTTGTTTATCTTCTTTTTGTATTGTTTTCTTATTTTTGTGGTTTGTTTTTGAAAATACCACTTTACGCATGCTTGGTATCACAATGATAATTGCATACTTTGTCTTTTCATTAAAAAGGAGCAATAAATTAGTGAATAGTGGCATGAAAATGGGGCTAATTTTGAATATTAGTTGTTAAGTTTCTTTTAACCAGGTATTATTTGAAAACTTGTCTGAGATGAGAGCAAAACTCTTGGTCCCATTAAAGTGTTTCTTGTTTTATATCCCAAAAGCTTAGGTGAAGAAGACATTGGACAGTTCCATTTTATAAAAGTTATTACAAGTCTTTTAAAAAACTTGGTC